CAAAATACTCAATTTCAAGGGGAAAATGAGGGTAAACACAGTCAGACAGCCTCCCATTAACCTACCTTGCCATTCAGGGTGGTGGCACTGGCCTTGTTCCGCCACTCATTCATGGGATCGATCAGGGTCCATTCGTTGGTTTCTGGATTATACCGCTCAACTTTGTTGAGGGGCCTGAAACCAATATGGCCACCCATGGCGTAGATAAAACCATCAAGCACGGCTACGCTAACATTACAGCGGTGCCAGTGCATTGGAGCCATCTCCTGCCATGTCCGTGTCATGGGGTTGAATCTGCGCACGGTATTGGTGAAGTTTTGGCCATCAAACCCCCCAATACAGTACACAAATCCATCGCAGTACACGGTGCCATGTCCGGCTAGGTAGCTCTGCTCCTCTTGCGTAACATCCACCCAACGGTCGGCCTGTGTGTCGTACGCGTCGATCCAGTTGTTTGTACGCATATTCCAGCCCCCAACAGCCAGCAAGATGTCAGATGGCAGGCGTGAGCGGATCAGAGGGTTATCAAAGTCAGAGCTTGGACTTTCAACGTCGAGATCATACATGACCTTCAAGACATCATTGACAATGGGCCTGCATGCCGCATTGGTCTTCACTAAATCGTTGTTTTTCACGATCTTCATGAAATATTCCGGATCCATGCGAGCCATCCGGACCTACACAGGAAACAAGAATGAGGGAATTCCCATGAGTTCCTTAGTGCTTTCTGTGCATCTCTGGAGATGTGACAGCTAACACTTGTTTAATGTAAGACATTTGAGTGTGTTGTTTTCCATTTATTTGTTTGTTAGACTCTACTGCTGGTTTTATGACTTAGAAGCCCAGGTTGTAGACTTATGGGACATGGAAATGGAGGTTCAGTCTCTAGCTACTATAATAAGGACTTCACTGAAAGAGTATTCTATTGTTATGTCCACGTCAGCAAGAATGTTGGATAATTACAGTCACCTTTGGTAACAGGACTGAAATATGGGCCTCTCGGCTGACAGGCTCGTGCTTGATCCATCGGAGGATGGCGTCAAACACCACATCCTCCTGTGTGACATTCAGCTCATCCTTCGCAATGATGTCACACAGCTGTTGCAAGGTGAGCTCCGGGAACTCCACTGAAGTGGTGGCAACCTCCTTGAAGTTCCTCAGGATTGAATGGAAGGCAGACTGGCGCAGCTCATTGAGGCAGTAGATGTCTGCGATTTGAAAAATGCCAATGCAGTTCTGGGGGCAGAGCTGGTCATGCAGAAAATCGCAGCATCGCTGTACAATGCCCAGGATGTTTAGCTGGTCAGCGGCTAACAGGAGGTTCTCCACATTGTCAGCCGTGACAAGCACAGAGTACGTATAGGCGTACTCGATGATCTGCCTCAGTGTTTCTGGGAAAATGCCTGGGAATTGGTATTCCCCATTTCCTGAATCATTCCAGTCACTGGTGAACAAAGCCCTGAAAAACAATCCAGATGTGACTCATTTAACAAATATGGGTTTTGCAGACAAAGTTAAATAAGGGCTTTTCTAACTTTTGAACCAGGGACCCCAAAATGAATATTGGAGAGAGCTAAAAAACCCCTGCCACAGATGATCACATAGGTACTTAAAAACTAGGCATCTGGTCAGGAAGGGCTTTAATCGTATTTTTCCAGCAGTGGTTCCCCCTAAATATTTTTCACTTGGACTGGAGGGCAGGTCCACTGGAATATTTTTTTTTGCCTCTAATTGACATGGTCCCCTATGTATATCATACAGTTATTGTTACTATTATTACTATATGTCAGAATGTAAGGTGGCTCAGAAATATTTCTTATTAGCCCTGACCTACACTAACATAACACAATAATGCATTTAAAAACTTTCTGTTATAACAGAA